TTGTCATAGCAGCACAAAGCTGCAGGGCCGAGATGTATCTTACGCGAAAACAGATGAGAATTAGGATACGCAGGTAGGATGTGGGGAGGAAGAGAATAAACAGCACACTGCAAGGAAACGCATGCGGAAACCCTGTCGCCTCCCCGCGGGAATGGCTGTGGTGTCGGCGGGAGCTCACCAGATCTCACGGGGCCGGAGCAGAAGTCGTCAGAGCTGACCTCCTGCGAGGTGAAGCTACCTCGGAGGAGGCTTTGCCACCTTCCCAGGCCTCCTGAAAAGTTTTCTATGGAGTCGCAAGGTCCTCATGGAGAAGTCTGGGGAATGACGCCCACCAGCACGACTGATGCAAGATCAGCAACAAAAAACAAGTTTTTGTCTTGCTTCCAGTCATAAAGCATGGGTCGTGGATTCATGTTCTGAGTTCCCCACTGGGATTTCGACTGCCTGTGTGTCATGTCCTCCTGGAGCAGGTGCTCTGAAAACTTTCTGGCCAAACTGGAATGTCTTTAGCTCAATTAAACAAACATGGAGGGTATTGCCAAAGTGATGGTTTCAATCAAGACCAGCAGGACTGGAAGGGCCTTTCTGCTTTGAAGAAGCAGCAGTATATCTAGCAATTTTCTGTCAAGAAAGTTGATGGAAATATAAATGTACACGTCTGCTGACATACTCGCTCAAGCACTAGGAGTGGACCCTATGTTGAAGATTTATATTTTACACTTTGTTTTTTCCATTTTATTTACGTTAAAATTGTTGAAAAAAATATATGTAACTCTGTTATTCACTGACCAAGCCAATTGTAAAAATATAGCTTAAATAATTAGCATCTTATTTTAGAAACTAGACTCTGATGAGGAAATGTGCCTGTGGGGCCTGCTGGAGCCTGGCTCCCCGCCGGGCTCCTCGCTGTGCCCTCTCCAGCTGCAGTTCCTCGTGTCGTGCTCGGAGCCGTCGCGATGCGTCGGCTTCGCCGCGCGCGCCGTCTCCATCCCTCGGCCAGCACGGCTTGTTCGGGGCACCACAGCCCGGCTCGAACCCGTGTCCTGCGCTGAGAGCAGCCCCAGCCCTCCTGAAAGGCCTCCCTGCCTGCCCGTTTCTGCAGAGTGCGCAGAGGGTTTTCCTTTGGGAATTAAGCTGGGAGTCGGGCAAGTCTTTTCCCTCGTATAACCGTTTTGCTTTTTGACTGAGGCAGTCTCTTGAAGTGAATAAAAAAGCACTCTGCAAGGATAGCGCATGCCAAAGATTACTGAGATCATAGGAAAAGAGGAGAAGTTTATAGCAATCCGATAAAAGCTTTTCCTTCTCCTCATTTTCTTTGGCACAAGTTACCTGCAAAGATTACCAAAACAGTAAACCAGCTTCACAGAAAAAATGAAGCCTGCATTTACTTTGTTGTCTTCTGACTGAAAAGCTAGAAATGAGAATCAGAAAATCAGCTAGAAATCAGAAAAGGAGCCCAAAATAGTCATGAGTTTTTAAACATAAATTCATACTGAGCTCATTTTGCTTTGCTTTATTTTTGAGGCTTCTCAGGCTTTCCTCCATAACCATGAGATCAGACATTTCTTTTGCTAATGAAAGCTGAGAAAAATAAATAAATAAAGTACTTCAGGTTCCGGGGCTCAAAGAAATACCAGACCTAGTGAAAATGACAGTAAAATTTTTAAGAGTTGGTATCACTGATTCAAATAAAGATCATTTTAATACCAACCATAGGACACAGACTGCAAGACTAGAGAGAGTCAAATGATAGCAAAAAAAGTGTGATGTGGCGTCGCAAAGATCTGGCTGTCATGCGTAAAACGTGTCTCTGTATGTGCCAGATCATTCGCAACACAGGAAGAAATACTTACATTTAGCCAGCTTTATCCAGTTGGCCGTTCATCGACTATATGTCAAGTCACAAAGCATAGTCAAGTCCTTATGATGAGTAATGTCACCTATAAAACACTGTACGTCACTGCTCAACAGCAAAACCAAACACATTTTTGCACTATAATAACCACAAGCTGGCTTTATGCCTCCTTAATATTGGAGGTGGTGGTGGTGGCTCTGCTGTGATCCCGCTCCCAGGGCAGTCGGACCGTCTTTCCCAGGCCTGGAGAGAGCTGAGTGAGACTTGGGCGCCCTGTTGAAGGTGGCTGCTCCCTCACCACACAGGAGCAATCTGCTTCTGCCAGCAAACAGAGCCTCTGTTGGGCACAAATGTCCATTTCTGGTGCTCCAGTCCTCGTCCCGTTTGACTGTAGCTTTCATCCTGGTAGCAGATTATATAATGTGGGCTTAAAGGATTTCTGGGATTGGACCATTTTGCAAATGAATCAGCATTTTCTAAGCCCTCCCTGCTGGGATGGGATCTGTTTGCTTTGCAGGAATGCTGCAGAGTTTTCTTCTTTCCTTATGATGGAAAAAAAAAAATCCAACACCACAGACGGTGCCTGCTCACTTTTTAATTAAAGGCAGGACTTTCAGACAAAAGAAAGGAGCAGGAGGTTTTCCTGGCCCTTTCTTGTGGCTCCCTGTGTCTTTCCAATGGCTTGAGGGTAAAGCCAAGAGTTGTGTCCTGAGGATAGCGCTCAAAGTGCAACCCGGTGCCTTCAGCTTCTGCTCTGCTGTCGGTGCCGCAGGTAGCACAGAGCTCGCTGGAGGGGCCCTCTTGCCGAGCCCGGTGCCAAGCCAAGGAGGGCCAAGCCAGCAAACCCAGCAGCCCTGGCTCTCCGTGTCTCCCTTCCTGCATTTATGGCAGGGGCAGCAGTACCGGTGGCCAAAAATAGCTTTACAAAATCTTTGCAGCGATGGCGTTCAGAAGCCCCAGGGCAAGTGGTTCAGCCCAGGATCAGTGAAGGGATTCAGTGTTTTGCTTCATGGCATCCCCTCCTGGGCCTGCAGTCCAAGCACGGACAAGGCTAAACCTGATGGAGGTTTAGCCACCTCTTGTCTGTCGGCTGCATCACAGACCAAAGCAGGGGTGGTGTGGAGATGTGAAGTGCGAGTAGCTCTCACCAGGAGGCTCCCTGCACCAGGGATTTACCAGGTGAAGCCACCTTTGGTCTGCCAAGAATAAATAAATCAGTGAGCATGGGACTTAGAGTAAGCAACAACCAGGGCCAAAAGGGTGTCGAATGCAAATGGTAACAGGCTGAAGGAGGAGAAAATGCTGCCCTTTCTAGACACCTCCAGCATGGTGTGGGACACGGATAAGAACTGTTTTCAGAAGGGAAAGGAGAATTGCAAGTGGTGGTCACTGTTTAAACAAGGATAAAGGGCAATAGGTGCACGTTATTATCTCATCTTCTTCAGCGAAAAAGCCAGAAACGGGAGGCCCTCACAGCAAGTGAGCTGGGGCAGTGCTGTTCAGTTCTCCTGCTGCAGGGCACTCGTACTTCAGCAATAAACTGCACTGTTAGCTAACTGGAAAAAGTGCAAGCAGTGAGCAAGCAGTACATGTCTCCTGTCAAGAAAAACTACTCATGCAGCTTTTACTATTCTATTAATTCTCCCTTTCTACTAGTAGGATTGGTACAGATAAGAAAATGCCTGGATAAAGGAGAATATGGTGGTCTGTCATTGCCCCAGTGCTGGGTATCAGATTTGTTTGGAATATAGTTAACTTGCCATTAAAGTGCCGCCCTGAGGAAAAAGATGTTAATGTTGCCCGCATCAGGCAACGGTCTTTACCATCTGCTAGCAAACTCAAGTTTCATCTTGGTGTATCATACCCAAACCAAACTGCAGCCTGCGTAAGCCTCTAAATTCATGCCACATCTTCTTAAAACCTCTTAAACCCTGTGGGCTGTGTAGGACCCCATCGCCTGCAAGGAGGGATGCGGATTCTGCATTCAGGTGGGAAAGCCTGCATGCACCTCTGCAGCTGAATCCAGCACGGCAGGGGAGCTGGGAGAGCCCATCCCACGGGATGGTGGAGCGGAGGCAGCAGCTCAGCCACACAGGGGCTCCTGCAGACAAGCAAAGGGAAGCAGCCTGCGACGATGCTGCAGACCTGTGCACAATGCACTGAGACGCCAGTGGCCGGGTTTCTGGGATGTGGCCTGAAGCAGCAAACTGCAGGCAAAGGGATGTGTTTGCCGCGAGGATGGACGTGTGAGTCAGCCCTCCCCGGCTGCCGCCTCCGGCGCGGTGGGCAGCGCTTGGCGCGCTTCGGTGGTGCCGAGGGCACGGGAGGCTTTCGTCCTTCTTGGCTGCTCATCCCCAATCCTGGGCCAAACAGGGGCTCCGCTTGCTGCATCCAGCCCATCGGCCTGGCCCAGGAGCCTCTGGCCCCGCGGCCGTGCCGCAGCGTCGCGGCAAGCACCGCGCTGCCACGGCAGAGCTCGTTCCCAAATCCGAAACGATAGTTTCCAAGAAGAAATGAGTATTTTAAGTATGACATTTAGCTTCTAGCCCTCCGTTGAAGATAAAATAGCAGCTGTGACAGATGGGGTTATTTTATAAGCTAAATATTAAAAGAATGTGCCTCAGATGTAGAAGGAAATGAATGCAGCAGTGAGGCAGAGTAGGTAAATAGCAACACACCTTGATGAAACTTGTGTGATGGTTTCTTTTCTTCTGTGTTATGTCGTTTGATGAATCCTTTCTGAAGGAGTAGTACTGTTAATCTAATACGGGCAGTAAAGTCCTTCTATTGCTGCTGGATGTCCTCAGCCACACTTCTGAACATGGCATTTGATTTTACGATCTTGGCGATGAAATAGATTCCGGAGCTGCCGTTGTAATAAATTTAAAATCAGATACCTGCCTCCAATTTCAGTAAATGGGGACATTTCCTGAAACTATAACACCCATTTGAAGCTCAGGCTCCCAGAACAGCTCTTGCAAAGCACAGCTCTGCAGAGACAACCTGGAAGGATGTCTAGAAGAATTCCCCACACTGGCTCATTTCTCTGGCATGTGCTTGCGAATCTCTTCATTTATTTTGTTTTAGAAGAAAGTTGTGCAAGAATGTTTGAGTTGTTGCACAGACAGCTATTTGTGCTCGCTCCATGAAGGAGAGTGTTCCTTCTCAGCATGGCAAGGTATTGTATTCTCCCAGCGTTGTGAGAAGGTTTGTTAGTTCAGTTCTTTTCTCAAACTTGTCTTTTTGTTGTTGATATTGAACTGTTGCTATGTGAAAAATAGCATCTACTCAAATGTGGAAAAAAAATATACATACACCCCCACACTTCTAAAGAAACAGCTAGAAGTAGAGGAGGAAGTTTGTGTTGTTGCCGGTAGGAGATCTCATCACCCTGAGCATGGAGGCAATTTAACTGAAGTTAGGTCCATCACCAATTATGCAATGTATTTTAAAATAATTAGACACACAGTATCACATACATGCTTTTTTTTTTTCCTGCAAATTGGTCTGAAATATCACACAAAAGTCACTACAAGTCATTAACTTCCCCAGACCCAGGATTTTAGCCATGATGATTGGACAATTCATCCATCATCACCAGCTGAGCATAAGCTCTACTGATGTAGACAACACTATCTCCTATTCTTTTCAATCTTTTTTTTTTTTCAGAAGGAAATTGCTTTTATCAATTAGCACCCAATCCCTGCCTTTTTACCACATAGATGAATTTCCTGTCCTCTTCAAATTTTAGTGAAAACCCTTATATGCATTTACAAATTATGGAATTCTTTCTCTTTAGCCAATTCTCTTTGTGTTGTTCAGAATCTGGACGCAGAAAATAGTTATTCACCCTTTAAGGAAAGAAGTTAGAGATATTCTTAACTGAGCTCTTCAGCTGTCCGAGAAGAGTTATAGTCTCCCCACTTTGCAAGTAAAGGAGGGCTTTTCCTTGTCTTTTATTAGTCCCGGGTTTATTGCCAGACCTTGGCAATGCTCCTGTGCCCATTTCCTCTACTTAAAACAGCCCTAATGATAAAACTTTGCATTTCTTCAGAATGGAGCTAATGATTTCTTCACCTCCCACGCAGCGGATGTGGCCACACAAGCGGGCAGGCTTGGCGAGCTCCCTCAAGCCTCGCTGGTTTTCCTAGTCCCAGAAGCACCCCGAAGTTTTCCATGGAGGAGCTGAGAGCCAGTGGTGGAGGAGGATAAATTTGTCTCGTACTTCTCTGCCCACGCCAGGCCCGGGATCCCTACCTGCCTTCTCTCCCTTCAGTAGCCCCACGAGATTCGCCTGGCTCATGATGAAGCTGAAAGCCATCGCTGCGTACGAGCTCCTAAGATTAGCAGGTTTTTTATTTTTTTCCCCTCAGAAAAAAAAAATGCAAGAACTTCACCCTATTTGGACTATTTCCTTACTATGTTTCGGGTTTTCTTGCTGCTTCTGTGTTGACTGACATTCATTGTGATGATCACAAATAAGCGGCTCGCAGCTCCAGCACAGAAAATTTCTGAAAGATACAAAATGATGTAAAAAGGAGACTGCAATAAAAGCTATTACACCAACATAATGGGAGATAATAACCTGCAGCCCCTAAGATTGTGCCTTTTCTGATTAACAGACACTCTGCGAGGGAGAGAGAGAAACTAATGTCAGCCTCTTATATTACTTCTTGCTCTCAGTTTTGCTAAGGATTAAGGGGAAAAAGAGAGGGCAAATTAATTAATGCCAGCTGTCTTATTCCTGCTATGCCGACAATCCCCACGTTTAGGCTGTGCAGCTGTGGTCTGCCCTTTATTCCAAGAGGGTGCTAATCCCCCTCTGCTGCCACTGACAGGCTCCCATTCCATCCCGTGCTGGTGGTGTTTAGGGTCACATTGCTTTTCTGCGTTCTGGACCTCAAGTTTATCTGTTGAGAAAGAAATTTGGCAATGGCAAGTATGACAGCATCCCCAAATATGGTCAGGTCTAGCTGTCCCTCCTATACTCATTAGATCTCTTGAAAGTGGAGCTCAGGCCTTTACAGTTTGCTTCTTTAGAGGGGCTGAATCGCACATGCACGTGGCACATATGGAAGTCGTGACATACCTGAGTTATCAGTAAAGGGCAGAGGAGAATAATACTGCTATTTTAATGCATGCTTCCTTTTTTTTCAGCAAGTGTGCTATTAATACTGCAGAACTTCTTGTTGTTGTTGCTTAGATCAAATAGGAAAGGGACCGAGGCCACACGCCACTGTTGTTCTGGCTGCTTCTGTGCAAGATGAACTGATGAATAACGTCTGTGATTTCTTTTTCCCTTGTAGTTGCACTCTGCTGTGACCAGGATCCAAGTTCAAAGACCTGGTTTCAATTACACGTTTGCCCATATATGTATCCTGAACAATGACAAGACATGCATAGTGGACGACATAGTGCATGTGCTGGAGGAATTAAAGGCTGCTCGTTCTTCTAATCGAACTAATTTTGCGATCACATATCCGATTACTCACTTAAAGGATGGCAGGGAAGTATATAACGGGCATCAGCTTGGTGGGGTTACTGTGCACAGCAAAGACCGGGTGAAGTCTGCAGAAGCCATTCAGCTCACCTACTACTTGCAGGCAATCAACTCCTTGAATGACATGGTGGCAGAAAAGTGGGAATCCATTTTTTGTGACACTGTTGAACTTTTCCAGAAATCCAACAGGAAAGTCAAAATGTATCCTTTCACTTCTTCTTCGCTGAAGGAGGATTTCCAGAAGACTAGCAGGGTGTCAGAACGCTACCTGATCACGAGCTTGGTCCTTGTGGTCACCTTGGCCATTCTCTGCTGCTCCATGCAGGATTGTGTCCGCAGCAAACCCTGGCTTGGCCTGCTGGGATTGCTGACCGTGACCCTTGCCACTCTGACTGCAGCTGGAATCATCAATCTCACTGGTGGGAAATACAATTCCACCTTCCTGGGAATCCCCTTCATCATGTTAGGTAACTATCTCCTACTACTCTCTTTTGTGTGTTTGTGCTTCCCTGGCGTGCTTCCCAGCAAATAGAGAAGCATCACTGCATGAGTCCCAGTATCTAGACACTGAGCGGCCACAGTGCACCAAATCCACACGGCCTCTGCTTATAAACCATACCTGGACATTAGAACTGTTTCAGGGGCTCTGGTGTTGCGAGGACCCTGCTGTGTGACGCAGTGGGAGCGAGGAGCTAGGACGTGCTAGTGCCTTGTGTCGTGCAAGGGAGGGCCCTGGCGGTGGCTTGTCTGTGGGAGCTGGGTTGTGGTTTTGGTGCTCAGGGTTTGAGGGCAATACTGAGGTTTCCTGGCACATAACAGGGGCTGTGTGCGTTTTTCATTCAGCAAGCGCTCGCTCCTTTGGGGAGCAGAGTGGTGGCTTACTCTTGGCTTAATGCTCTAAGAGGAGCCTGTGCATGGGATAAGTGTAGGAGTCAGCTCTTCGCTGCGTTTCCCTTGGAAAGCCCTTGTTTGCTGAGGCAGCTCAGTAGCCCTTCACAGCCCACACGCGCAGAGCTTTGCCTCCTCCTGTGCAGAACGGGCCCGTGCGGGTAGCACCGCGTCCCACAGCACCGGGCAGTGCCCTGGGCTGCAGAGCAACGTGCAGCCCTGTGGCCGTGGTGTTGACAGAGGCAGTTCCTCTGACCCTGGTTTTCACACCACGTGCACTCGCTGCGGGCTGTGGGGTTGCAAGGTTTGGCTTTGAGGACGGGAAGAACAAGGAGGGAATCAGGAGAGTCAGTTTGCTCCTCCTCATCCAAATTGGGTGGACTCTCCTGTTGATTCTGGTGGACCAGGGCCCTTGAGGGGAAACTTAGCATTGTATCAAAATAGGCAGAAGGGCTTCCTGGGAGATGAAGAGTCAGCTCTGGAGGGTTCACATTCTCTTGGTTCGTGTTTCTTTTGTAAACAGCGTGAAAAGCTTTGTACACTGTAGGTGTCTAATATGTCCTTGTTCCCAACATTATTCATTCGTGAAGAATAATACATGCATTGATTTGATCACAGCTTTCCCAGCTGAAAATCAGTGCTCAGTAATACTGTAGATTTCAAGCATTAGTGTGTCTCCACTGACACACTCACATCGTGTAGTGGTGCGACACGTTTCAGCACAGTTATTTTTATATCAAGTGCCAGGTTCCTTTGCTGTGCCCATACTATATGTGTGGTTTTGTCGCGCTTTAATTAAAGGCTGTGCTCGAGTACTTCACACTACCAGTTAATGTGTAAGATATATTCAGTGACAAAAAGAAATCAATTATGTTGTATCAATTATTGTGTATAATCCTCATTTTCCTATGACATTCACAAAAATTAAACTGTGCCATAATCAAGAGGAGATCCAGCACAAGAACTCAGAGTCAGGAAAAGGCTGGCTGTGTGACCTAAGTCCACCTTTTCATCTGTGGGCTTTTATGTGTATGCATGTATTATAAAATATGTTCCTCACACTAAATAGTTTATGTGAACACCCAGGGGATTTCCAGATGCTTTGCAAGAAAATACATGTGGTAGAAATAATGTCGAAAATCCAGCTGCAGGAATGAAAGTACCAGGGAAAGTGACTCAAAAAATATGAAAGATTAGCTCTATTTAGGGATCAAGGCATCTGCTTTCTGGGACATCCCAGATCATTAATTTACTGATAGTGACTGTGCTGAGACTTGAAATCTTTAAAGACTTTTATGTTTCACTCACATTTTAGTCCTACCAAATTTTATAGGCCAGCTATGTTTTTTTTCTTTTCTTTTTGGTGAGGGAGAGGTAGGAGAGTATTTCTCAGCTGAAACCTTCCATTTTTTTAAGAACAAGTTTCAAGTGCAGCTCAGCTGCAGAGAGAGCTGCAGAGAGCTGCAACTCAGCTCTCACTATGAAAAAGTCAGGACATAGGAACCAACTTCAAATGAATCTCTCTTTGCTTCCCTAGCTGCATAAAATCCCCAAAGGAACAGGAACGTCAATAGGTGAAGAGTAGGCACCAAAGGCATTGAGGAGTTTTAATGAGAACTGTTTTAAATCACCAGATAGCTAGAAAAGCAAGGTTTATTTTCTTGCAGTACAACAGAAATATTCTTTGTGCATTTTGAAATGTATTTGATTTCTCTACACTGTTTGGCTTTTAGGGAAGGTTTAACTCAAAGTAACCAAAGGCACAAACCACTCACCATTGTGGTCTGCTGAAAGACTTCAACTTAATTTCAGTGACCATCAGATTAAATCATAGATTAACTGACCTTCAGAAGGCTAAAGGATTTTGGCTAACAGTGTAACTTTGTAGCTATTACTCTCCCATAATCTCATGGCCAAAAGCAAAAATGAGATAGAAAAAAGACACTGGACAGATTGCAATCAAGGCCCCTCTGCTAAAATAACTCATTAATACAGTTTTCCCTGTAGCAGCTGAGGATGTTTTAGGTTCTCATCAGAATAACAGAACCATAACAGAACCAGGAGGGCTCTCCAGACATCCGCTGGCCTCTCCACAGGACAAGGCTACAGTCTTCCTGGCAGCTTGTACTTTAACTCCTCCCTGGCAGCTTCCCCTGGTGTTTCACTTTCACCGTGAGAGCATCCACATCGTGAGCGACCTGAATTTCTCTGGCAATTCTGGTGCCCTCCTTATTCATGCCTTGCTGCATCTGGAAAACAACATATCTCCTCTTTCCTTACATATTTGGGACACTCTCATCCAACCCTCTTCCATTTCATCCCACATCCCCCCAGGGTTTTCTTGCTTGTTGCACTCTGGCTGCTCCTCATCCTCACTGGCGTGTGGTGCTATAGCTGGGCGCAGGATTCGGGCTGTGAGTTGCAGCACCAAGTAGAGTAGGAGGATTTCACACATCTTGCATGCGGCACTTGTGCTCATGCATCCCCGTATGACAGTCAATTTTTTCTCAGCAGTATGAAATGGTTGACATGTTTGGTTTGGGGCTCATGGTAACTCACAAATCCTTTCCGCACTGTTTGCACAGTTGATTATTCCAGCCCACATGTAGAAGTTTACCCTTCTCCTCACTGAATTATGCCCTGTTTACGTCACAGCATTTCTCCTGTTCATTAAATTTGTCCTGATTGAATCGCTGCCCCCTCCAGGAGGCATTAACTGAGAATAGTCAGTCAGCAATGTTTTGCAAATATCTACTTTTTCATATTTTTTTAAATTATTTTCTGAATCAGTTAAGTAGTTTGCCCAGTCACAAGGCCAATGATTTAGGCAACACATCTGCAAAATAATTTGGTTCAGTGTGGTCTATAATATTTGATTTCATTAATCTTGTTTTCCCTAGCATCCCTTAGGCATCAGCTATTTCCAAGAACAAAAAATCTATAGTGAAGTGTAGCAGCCTCTGTATATATTGAATCCTTAGCCTTTATATCAATAGCACAATTATAAACAATTAAATTACTCTGGTTTACAAGTCACACTCCTAAGCTCAGACTTTTTAAGTGCAGGTGCGAACATCTTTTGTCTACCCCACCTGTTGAATATGCCGTATTAGTTTAAACACTTTATCCTTCAGATTTAATCACCTTTATGGTAGTTTCTTCTGGTGTATTTTACTCTGTAACTCGGCTCATGAGAAGCAACTCATTAAGTCACAATATCTCAGTCATTCGTGGTTGTCTGTGTGCAGCCTGAGCGTATCACTACAGTGACGGCTTAGATGTTGTGGCAGGTTTCTTTTTAGCCCCCATCAGTTGCTAAATGAACAGCAGGAGTCGAATCCAGCCGTGGCGATGCCGACTGCTGAGCTCTGCAGTTCCGCAAGCTTCAGCGCTAACCAGGAGTAGCACCAGAGACCTCCTGGCCCAGGTCATGCCCAAAAAGCACAGGTCTTCTCCTCCTGCCCCAGGATTTTATTTTTCTCTTAAGCTCTAGGTCGATGCCCATACTTTTAATGTGAAAGTGAAGCTTGAAACCTCTGAAACCTGACAGGCGCCCACCATTTGTCTGAGCATATTTAGAACCAGCGCATGCCCCACTGGTTTTCTAGAACTACCATCCACATTTATCAACGTGCTTAAGCATGTGTAAACATATGTTTTAAGGACAGGGTTATTCACGTGCCTAGTTCACGTGGAATACTTGGTTGAACAAACTCTATCCACTTTCACCCTAAGCTTTATATACTGAAAAATTATATTCTTCATAGTTCAACAGAATTTAAAATAGCTGAATTATAATGCCAGCTGAAAAGCAGAATTAAAACTCTGATTTCCTCTTGCCTACTCCACTAAAATTTGCAGATGTTTGGTCTGGCACAGATGTTGATAAATTCATCGTAAGCTTCCCCTATGCAGTAAATGTTATTTAATAAGTGCCAATCCTTTAAAAACACAGGTTTCCTGAAAAACACCGTCTTATAAAATAAACTGAAAAACAAGTAGTCACACAGGAAGCTTTTGATACCACTTTTTTACCTCCTACAGGTGGAGTGCAACATTTAACTTTTGAGACTCAAGTGAAAATTGCAATATTGGTCTTTTTATTTAAGAGGAAAATAGCAATCTGTTTCGTATTCCTTTAGAAACTCCTACAGTTTATGCAGAAAGACATGGCTCTTTTCAGCTGCCAAGTTCGTGAAAAGAATGAGCTATGTAAAATAATTATGGAATGTCAGACATTGCCAAATATGGGGAAAGATGCAGGGCCTGTTCCACAGGCTTATATTTAGCTTCTGATTTGAAAGTACACTGCTCATTAAACTGGCATGGAAAAAACAGTTAGCAGTGAAAAAAAAAAAAGAAAAGCTTGGACTTGCAGTTTTCTGTAAATTGAAATGGTAACAAGCATTTTGTGAATATTTTGCAAAATACAAATAAATACAAACCCAACTCTTACTGCCTTCCACATCCCACTCTTGTCCACCAAATCCCGCTCTGTTTTGTTTGATAGGGCAGCAGCAGCCTCAAAACACGCATGTTTCTGAGAAGAGGGAAGAGGAAGGTACTGCCCAGGGCAGGT